AATAAAATAAAATAAAATAAAATAAAAAATCATCACATAGTGATCATTCTGATACAGGTGAAAATCATGCTGGGAGATCCACAGTGAGGCAACACAACATGCAGCAATTTAGGGAGAACATGTGAGAGATTATTCACAAACAGTAGCAAAAGTGTATCTTTTTTAATCCTCTCCTGAACAGGAAGCACTGTCTGGTCAAAAAAAAATACTGATTTTGAAACTCTTACCTATATCTACCATATCTTTGGCCCACCGTTCCCAGAATTCATTTGAATTTGAGGACCAGTACAAGCCATCCAGCAAATTCCTAGTAAAGATGTTTGTCCAAAGGCCTGCAAGTCAAACCACATAGGAAAAATCCTGCACCATCACATGTAACCACTGACAAATATACATGCTACATATTATTGGCTCAGGTGAACTGACCCTGTCATGACACAGGTTAAGCAGTAGGTCTCACAGAGTTCAACCATAATGGTGTCAGCACTTCAGTGCTCTTTCTTAAGAGATAACTACACACAGACCATTCATTGTAAGAGTACAGAGTAACAAAATCAGAGGTATCAGTCACCCAGACTATGGTTTTGAGTGTTTACTCTGTGCAGTTGTGAAAGAAAACAGGCTTTGGAAGCATGGTGAAGCCATATAAGCATAAGACCCTTCTTTCAACTGATTTATTCTTTAAATTGATCTAAGACACTTTTTTTTTTTCCTTTCAGGCATGCTTTGTTTCTATGGAGTTCAACTGGTCCAAGATTAAAATAGAATTGGCTCCATATGTGAGTCTGCTTTTGGAAAAGAAAGAACTATCCTTTGTCATAAGCCCCATGCCAGGTATTCACATGAGGAACAAATTCAATCTGTAGCAGACTTCACAGTGAGACAAATAGGATTTTTGTCTCCACTGGACCCTTGTTTTTGGTATCAAAAGCTGAAATTATGATAAGGATTTAAAATCTGCCTGGGGCAGATTTTTTTCTGATTAGCTGCTTTGCCCCTTTTCTTTGTCTTCAGAGGCAGACCAGCCAGTCAAAGCAGTTGTTGGAGGTTAAAAGGGCTTCCCTCCTTACGGACAGGGAAGATTAGTGACACCATTCTCAGCCCACAAAGCTCAGACGGTTCTGGCCTTTGTGGGTTGCTCTAGATAAGTTATATTTTATTTTCAGCTCCTTCCAATTCTACCCCAGCAATGCATTGCCTAGAAAAATAGTTGATGAAGAGTTGATGACTGAAGATGAAGTTGACGAAGACGGGCTTATTATTTCCTCAACTTGCCTTCTCCACCTTCTTGTTTGGTTCAGAAAATGGGAAGGGGAATAATGCTGCAACTCTCCAAAATCTGCCTAGGTTAAAAGGGAGACCAGGAGGAAAGAAGCTTTACAAGGAGCAGACACGTACAAAAGGGGTAAAAAGCCCATTGAATCAACACCTACAGACCTGCTGCCAAGGTGTTGTACCAGTGGCTAGCTAGGCATGCTTTCTACCATGTTGTGCTTAACTACATGGCACAGCTAGGTCACCTTCCAGATAGCAGATCCGAGATTCTGGCAGCTTCTTCACTCGCCTTCCCATGAAGAACTCACTGTCAAAATATTCTGAACGAATGGAGGCTCCATATTTTGGTATCGTCACCTCATAAGGAGAGAACTCCGCCCACTCTGCAAAAGAATTGACACATGGCATATTTACCGTAATAAAAATAAGAAAACAAAACCTTTCCCTGAGGTAAAGCTATCCACAAGCTCCGTGGATCTTGCTTGTCTCACCAGGTCTGAGTAGCTTTGTACTGCAAACTACACTGTCTAGTTCCATACAAACTGAGATATAGTTTGCATAGAAAAGGAACGAGTTTTTTCACCTCAGAAAGAGTCTAGATTTATATTTCTATATAAAGATTCTGGGATCCCACTTGCCTCTCTAAATCAAAAGCATCCAATGTACAACATGCAAGTGTGATCCAACCTGCAAGGGATGACTGGCATGAAACCTCTACTAACTCAAACCTGTCAGTCTCCATGATATAGCAAAGCAGCCTGAAAACACATCAGCTCCAAACTAAAAAGGATCACAGTGTGGGCATGGCCATGCAGTTTCCTGTCTCAAGATGCCCTGTACATAGTGCAGTAGAACAGTAGCTGTAAACCTAACCAAATATAAGTATTAACTGGGTTTTCTTCTGGTTTCTGCTCATTTTAATACCTTTTGTTGAATGTAGCCTGTGTCTATTTAAAGGGTGTCATATCACAACCATCACAGCAATCATACTCCCCACTCCATTTTCATACCCTCATCAGTGTAGTATTTAGGGAAGTGACAATTACATTTCACAGCACCTCTACAAACTAAGGAACCATCGAAGCCATTTTATGGGTGTGGAACTGAGGCAGAAAAAGATCACATGATTTGTCCACACTCACTCACCATGTCTGTGGCAAAACTAGAACTTCAGCCCAGAACTTCAGAAATGCCTGAGGATGTTATCCAGCAGATCTGCTCTTTCTAGTCAACAGCCAGCAGTTCACAAAAAACCCAAGCATTTTGTTGAAAAGATGAATACTGAGTCAGGGCAGGCAACAGATGTATTCCCCTTTTATTCTACACACACACACACACACACACACTCCCTCCAAATTCTCTTTAGTCCTTACTCTTAAGAGCAGCCCTGAGGAGAAGGACTTGGGAGTGTTGGTTGATGAAAAGTTCAACATGAGCTGGCAATGCACACTTGCAGCCCAGAAAGCCAACCATGTCCTGCGCTGCATCAAAAATAGCGTGGCCAGCAGGCCAAAGGAGGTGATTCTGCCCCTCTACCCCACCTGGAGTACTGCGTCCAGCTCTGGGGTTCCCCGTACAAGAAAGACATAGACCTGTTGGAGCAAGTCCAGAGGAGGGCCATGAATATGATCAGAGGACTGGAGGACCTCTCCTCTCAAGACAGGCTGAGAGAGTTGGGATGGTTCAGCCTGGAGAAGAAAAGGCTCTGGGGAGACCTTACAGCAGCGTTCCAGTACCTGAAGGGGCCTACAGGAAAGCTGGAGAGGGACTGGTTGCAAGGGCATAGAGAGATAGGACAAGGGGTAATGGCCTTAAGCTGAAGGAGGGGAGATTTAGAGTAGATATTAGGAAGAAATTCTTTACTGTGAGGGTGGTGAGGCACTGGAACAGGATGCCCAGAGAAGCTGTGGATGCCCCCTCCCTGGAAGTGTCCAAGGCCAGGTTGGATGGGGTTTTGGGCAACGTGGTCTAGTGGAGGGTGTCCCTGGCCATGGCAGGGGGGTTGGAACTAGATGATCTTAAAGGTCCCTTCCAACCCAAGCCATTCTATGATTCTATGATTCTAAAATTCTATTATTCTAGTCAGAGTCAGAAGAAACTCCAGGAATACTTACCTCTAAATTTGAAAGTACTGAACTTTTCCTCTTTCACATTGAGGACTGCATAGAAAGGCAATGGGTTTTGTCCATGCTCCAATGCCTTGCGCTGGTCGGTGAGTTTGTACTTTCTTGGCTAATCAAAGAGATAAAAAAGTCACAGTAAACCTCTGGAAGAGCATAAGGCAAAACCACTGCGACAATCTACCTGAGTAGGGATAGACGACAGATGTTTTACAAGCCAGAGAAATCTGTGAGTCACATTTTCATAAGAGACCTCTTCTTTCACGTTCCTGCACTTTCCTTCCTGGTTGCCTTTCTGATACCTAGTAACTTCTTCATTAACATGTAAGTGCCTTGATTACCTGCATCCCACAGATCTTTACTAAGGCTGAGACTAATGTTCACATGAGGACGGATTACTCTAGCTCTTAAGTGTTCAACGAGAAACAGACTTTGAAAGACCTGATTTTTCAAGCGGTATTGCTCAGTTCTTTCTGAAAGTTTGCCTGCTGAAGTTGCTAGCTGTTGGGCACCCTAATACACAGGCACCTTCAAACCATTTAGCTACCCTGGAAAATCCTGGCTACAGGATCCTCTGTCATTGTTTACAAATCACACTGGGATGCCTCGGTCACTTTGGATTTGTTCCACACATTATGTCATGCCCTCAAAGAGTAGAGGTCTAAAGAAAAGGAGTGGATGTTTCCCAAATGTGTGGCAGGACCATATACATACCCGTTCATGTAAGAACATTTCCTGAACAAGTGACCACAGAGTTGTAAAAGATGAGACATGTCCTGCTTTTGCCCTTTCAGTGAGTTCCTTGTGATAATACTTCAGATGATCTATAGACATAAGGTTGAGCTTGCATTTTGTCACTTGTTCTTTTACTGCCTTAAGTGGCCCCTCCAGAGTCTTCTGTGACCAGTCGGCATGCTCATACAGGTCTGCTAGGGTCCTAAAGAACATAAATGTGAGAAAATCATCCATTTATTTGGATGATTTTGGAAAATTACTATATTTACCCAGCCACTTGCACCAAAGAAGAGAATCAACAAGCCTAAACTGAAGCTATGATCAAGAGCCAACAGTAATAGCTTTACCAGGGAATTACATTCACTTATTAACAATGTAAGACTTTGAAAGAGATGCATCTCTCTCACTGTGTGGAAATGTACTGTCACAACAATTCCAAATACAAATCTCATTTTCTATACGCACCATGTCGAGCCAGAAGCCCCGGTGAGATAGGTAACACAGTCCAACAGATTTAGCTTCTGAAGAGCTAAGAGGTGGCCAAACATAGCTGACATTGCTCTGAGACCTCCTCCTGTTGCCATAACAGCTATCACTGGGACCTGTTCAAAACATAAGTATTTTCTTCAAAAAGTTACTCACTTGCCTACTTGGAAAAGTCAAATTACATCTCTTATAATTTCCTCAGGAGACTTCATTGGAGGACAATGAAATTAAACCAACATTCAGCCAGTTTTTACCAGTACCTTCTTTAAATTAACCTCCAGATATTCAGTGGGTTCCCTTAACCCCAAAGTTTGGATGAGTTTGAATATGCAGTGATTTTAACCTTCCTTCCTCTCCTTGTTTTTTCTAATTGGAATTGCAATGATTACTAACAGATAATGAAATGATTTTATTATAAGTAACAAAAATTGTGATAAATGTAATTAAGAATGGATTCAAGGAAGTCCTGTGCAGAATTCAGAAAAAGAATATTAAACAAACAAAATTATTCTTTGGACAGCATCCATTCAACAGATATAATTCCAGCAAGAAAATAAATGTTCACTGAAAAACTCATGCTGGATCTTGGCAACAAGACATACTTCAGTTAGAGCTTGTTATAAAATGATCTTTCTCCACCCTAAAGGATTTTGACTTTTTTTGTGAAAAGTGTTCTGAAAATGAAAAAACATTACACTGGGACATTACAATGATTTCATAAATATGTGTGTGAGATGAATTTCAAATACTCGTGTTTTCCTACTTGTTTTTGGTTGTCTGTCTAGTCTGGTCTAACACAATGTATCAATGCCTCATACCTTGCTGACCCGCTGCATCACACTGTTGAAACAATAGCTTTGAAGAGTGGTATATTATGTCCTCAGGCATTTGACCCATTGAAAAGAATGGAGGCATGAATAGCTGAGCTGAAATTTTAGATGAGTATGGGGTATGTCACACTGAGAACTTCTGTTCTGCTGCCATTCAAATCAATGGGTTTGTCATCAACACACAAAAACTACTAGAAATTTTGTGGGGAGTTCTGCCAATCCTAATTCAATAGACCCACACCCCATGCTTGGATTCCAACTCACAGACCTCGTGTCCATGTAGTTCTCTTTCCAGATGAAGAACCCTTTTCAGGGCACTGGCAACCACTCTCTTCCTTTTTTGCAAGAATTCTTGCTCTTCTCGGCACAGATCATACCCTAAGCGCACATCTAGTTTATCTGTGCTGAAACAAACAAATCCAGAGGCACAGGATTGGTGTTTAAAATGTATATGGATCTATTTTCAGCAACTGTGGTCTACTAAATATCATAAAAAATCATGATTCTCTGTTCACATTTAGAGACAAAAGTGCAGCTTCCAGTTTCAAAGAAATCAGCTGCTTTGCTTCTATGTGTCTTTTTAATTTCTGTTGCAGTGTAAGATTTACAGCCAGCTAAGGACAGCAAATATGAAAAAAGAAAGGCTGCTTTGTGACTTTCAGTAGCTTTGTAAGCTGAATCCTTTCTATTTCTGCTTCATATAATTTCTGAGCAAAGGGTGACTTGAACCTAACAAGTTCTGTGATGGGGATTTGTACCACAGATTTATACAGAAACAGTACAATGAAAAAGATATTAAAATAATTTTGGTTTATTTGTTGTCTGTCTCATTATTTTACAGTGTAACATTTCATCTTCCCTAGCTTGTGCTTCTTTCTATTGATATCACCAGAGCCACAGATATATTTTCTTAAGAATATCTGCGTGGTTTGAGTAATGTATGGACTTTGGATGTTTTGCTTTTTGAAGTTCCCTTTTCCCTCTGTCTTCTTCCCACTTCTGTGTCCCTTTTGAAGCAGCCTCCAATCTCAGACTTTGGTTCTTTGACGCAAAGAACACTCAGTCACTGAGTTCCTCACTGTTTGAAACTCTCACAATTGTTTTTTTTTTGGTTGGTTGGTTTGGGTTTTTTGCATCTTGGCATGACTCCTTTGCCCCAAGGATATTTAACTTTGATCTATTGTGGTGACTCTTTAATGGTGACTTACTTAACTGTTGTTATATTTCACCCCTAATCTTGTGCATTCCTTGCATCTAAATAAAGGATACTCTGTTCTAGAATTCATAGTTCAAAGAGCAATAAAACCTTTAGAGAAAAAAACAGTCCTCTTACCAATCATTTAGTTGGAGGTACAACTGCAGTGGCACATTCTGTAAACAAAGAAATGAGAGCAGGAATATGAATGACTGCAAAAACCAGAAGTTTTGAAATCCAGATTTTCAGTGCCTCCTGGAATGCCCCACCACTACCACCCTGCATATAGTTTTTTGGAAAACTGTAGCAGGAAAGAGAAGGAAAGCAACTGAACACCAAACATATTCTACAGAGAAGGAAAAGATGCAGGAGGAGTCAAAATGGCTAGATGAGCGGGCTGTGAAACAGGATTTCTTCCTCACTGAATATGCCTCCATGAACCATCCTAACCCAGCAGCAGTATCATATTGCCACCCTCCTGTTCCTGAGGATGAACAACAGCAGCCAGGTAAAGACAGTGATAGAAGAGGAAATACAAGTCACCACATCCTTCCAAAAAGCTACCGGAGGTAAAAGAGAGTGCAAACAGAGGGGTGGGGAATCTCTAATGGTGAAACAGATACTCATTCTGCTTTCTCTTTATGGGAAAGGCTGCTGAGAAGTTCTCCTCTTCCTATTTTTGCCTCTCATTTGCTGCAAGGTCTGGGAAAGGATGTCTGGCTATTGTTAGCAGATTCATCTGGCCACACAGCAACTGCTTACCACTGCATTTAAAGCAGCTTAAGAGTTGTATCTCTCCACCAGTTACCATCGTGACAGTACACATAGAAGAATGTGCCAGAATTGTTGTCTGAGGGTAAGATTCAGCTCATCTAACTTTAGCCATCTAAAATTTATGTATATAGATTGAAGTAACCACTCGGGCTTGATAAAGAGCGGTGGGGCATCCCAAAGCCTTGCAAGTGGGATTGATTATTGTCCTTTAACTGTGTAAGGACAGCAGAGGTTGGTCTGAAATGCATCTAAAACTGGCCAGGATGAACTCCCAATTATTGATTTTATTGATAGAAAATTGATATTTCTCTGAGAAATCTAACCTTTTTCACAGAAAACTTGTACTTGCACAAAATTCTCACTGAGACTTACTAATTTTTTTTGTTTTTTTTTTAAATGTTATGGTGTTAAATACTGAGGGTTACTCTACTCTTCTCTCCAAAAGATCATAGAAATGGTGAAGCACTTACATGTCTTACAGGAAGGGTTACTTTCACTTTATGTCCAACAGGGAGAAATTTCAGTGGTACTGTTAAGGTGTCACTTAAATTGTTATTGTCATCTTCCTTATCAGAAACTTTCTACAGAGAACAAAAAGCATGGTTTGATTTTTTTTTTATTCACAGAATAGAAATGATCAAGTTCTTTACTGTTTTGGCGCCACAAGCAAGCAGTATGAAGAGTGGTATTGTATAGTGCCCATTACCTGCAGCCTGACTTTTAGAACTGGCTCCCAAGCCTTCACGCAATGGAAGTAGAACGTATCTGTGTCCTCTGTAGTTTTCTGTGTTCTCTCATGAGATGCAAGCACCGTAAGCACAAGATTTTTACCCTCTAGTGAAAACAGATTTGTTTAGAGAATAATAATGCTGTTTGGGTAAAATAGCTAACAAAGCTGGCAAACTTTCTGCTGGAGTCATTCTCTGTGGTAACTCCTCCTACAGGAGACGTACTCTTGCCTTTACTCCATAGTTTGGAGTGCTCCCAGAGTCAGCACTCTCATAATTCCACCAGCAAAGTTTACTGTGTCCAAACTTGATAGCTTCAAGGAAAAGACACAGAGACCAGCGTTACAACTGGAGGCAGTTCAGGGACTTTCACTCACTACGTTTTATTGTCTTTAGAACATCCTAGTCGTCTCTGTATCCTAAAGTGCCTCCATCTGGGTCTGAATGGCTATGATATAGAGTTGATTTGGTCATGTCCTCTCTTCACAGAGAAATCGGCATACCTTTCAAATATTTCTTGCTTTCATTAATGTCCACTTGCACTTCCAAGCAGCAAACCTCACGGGACTGTAAAAGACAAGAGTGAAAAAGTATGACGATAGCAAATGCCACATCTTCAATAAATAATGAAACATCATGCAGACAGCCACTAGCTATAATATAGAGCCAACTAAACTGGTCTCAGTGCTGGAAGCAATCCAGCTGCACAAGAGCAAATTCAGAGCTCATTGCCCCAGGACAGTAGCCCAGTTACACTGCTTCAGAACTAACTTGTCCACACAGAGGTACGTTGCCATAGGTTGTTATACCCATTCAAGTTATCCCAAAATCAGGAATATCTGTAAAACACACTGTTGCCCAAACACAGCTACACATATATCTGATAATTATTTAGGAAGGGTGGGGGAAAACACGTGATGATGAGTTTCTGTGTATTGTGGCAATGATTAGTCTACAAGGCATCTTCTTGCTGGTCCTGATGTAGAGAGATCATGGATTTATTCCACCCTACCCTCTACCTGAGTCATTCCAGTTCACCTTTAATAACTCATGCCAGGACAGTTTTCCAAGCCATTTCAAGAACAACACATGCCAATCATTACAGCTCTTATGCCTCACACAGAAAATGAGGGGGAAAGAACAGAATATGTGTTATTCTGCCTCAGGGGTATTAAAGGCTAGCATCTGGAAATCATGCACAGGCTTGGAGTGGTTGGCATGAAGTACTTTGTACTCCTTAGCTGCTGGGCCAGCCCAAGGAGACAGGTAATGTACCACATGCTGACTAATACCAAAAGAGGACTCTATGTTTCAATGACTAAAATAACTCTTTATTAAAAACCTCATTTCCCCAAAAGCTGTTACATTAGATAACCTTCCAGTCATGAGGACATTGAATACTTACTGTTGCCTTCTGCAGACTCATCCCTTCTATAACCTCTATTTTTCCTGCCGCACAAGTAGTTTTTACTTTGAACATCAACAAATATGGGGCAACACTAACAAACCACAGCTGGGCAAAATATTGACATCTGTAATACTGGAGGACTTCAAAAAACACAGCTTCTATTTTTGTATGGAGAGGGCAACAGTTAAGCCATAATGAATGGGAATCATCCCACATATTTCACTTTATAATGCTCTGATCTATCATGGTAGCTTCTTTTCCCTATATAAAATGTCAGATGTTTGGGGGGGAAGAGGAGAGAATCAAATGAAGGAAAAGTGACTCCAAGCTAAATTCGCATATGAACCTTACCACTAGGACATCATTGGTAATCAGGTGCTCCAGAGGGCCAGGACTGAAAAGATAGAATCAAAAAACCAAACAAAAGCTGTGTGAGTATCTGGTATTTTTTAAAAATAGTAGTTTTATGACCTTTCCTCCTTAAAATTGAATATAGTTATGTTAGTATCATAATTTGTTTTCTTAAAGGCACAATACATGATCACCTGCTAAGCATATGAACCAAAATGTAGTAGACAAACAAGAAGAAAGGCAGGAGAGCCCATAAAAATACCAATGCTTAAAACTATATGCTAAGATACAGCAGAACAAAGACATGTTGGTCTATGTGGAATCATGTCCTGCTATTAACAAATGACCGTATAACTTGGGGAAAGCAAAGGGTACTATTAATGTATTCTGCAAATACTTATTAGGAAAGACATTTCTGACTGTTCCAGATCATAATTTACAACTGATCACCAATGAACAACAAATAAGAATGAGCTCCCATCGTGCTATATGTATGGCTGGAAAATACAGAGGTAAGTCATAGAAAGTCTTTGTCCCAGACATTTTACCTTGTAAGACCTAGGTCTGTCACTGCATGGATGTAGTTATTTAATACCATGAGTAACCGACAGAGTCTACTAACAGCATCTCTCATTAAGGCCAATACTTCAATGGCACTATGTTATGCACATTCATAAGTGCTTTCATATACCTGAAAGGACCATTAAAGTTATGCAGTATGTAATCTTTGCCTTTCTGCAAAGTCCAGGTTATTGTACCAAGCACCACTTCCAGCCTTAAAACTTCTGTTTCAGCTGTAGAATGTATTTAAATGTAAATAACTAGGTTTGAGTTCCAAGGATGGAGAATCCCCCACATGTCTTGTAACTTGAACGGTGAAAAATGTTCCGCTTATTTCTAGCTGAATCTAGCCAGTCCAGTTTCCAAGCACTGCATCTCATTTTATCCTTTTTATATATCTGGCTGTGATTGCATGCCTAGAATAAGAAGCCCTATTTACAGTTCCTTCTTCTAATAGTGTAATTAGTCAGTTTTGACTAGACTGTATTCCTTTTTTTTTTCTTTTTTTTGGGTAATGCTAAGCTCAAATATGCCAGAAAATATAGTTTAGGGTTTGTTTTTTCAACCAAACCTGTGATAGCGTTTAAAAGAGAGATAAAGTTTATCTTATGGGATTTGTTTTTCCTCCAGCCAGTGTTGATTACCACTTTGAGTGGGATGGTCTTAATTTTAGTATTTGTTGATTGTATGTTTTCTTGGTTTAACTAAGCTATCACCTAATGGGTGACTTTTCTAATATTGTCTACGTAACTCTATGTATACATCGTGATAATGATACAAGTTTTCTGATCTTTTAGAAACACCACAGTGATCTAGGCATTGTTCAATTAATACTAACAACTTGAAGAGCACCTCTGTTAAGTTTTACATGCATCTTGTGTGCAAGCTATCACATCGTGCCAATGTTAATACATTTCCACAATTGGGACATACCTGTCAAATAGAAGGTAAGATTTGTATAAAATACACTAAAAGACAGAATTAGCTGGGGAAGGTAAGGTAAAAAAAGTTTGAAACAGTAATATCTCAGCTCACTGCTGGGAGGAAGAGCTGGAAGAAGTTCTTCTCTGAGATATTATTACTCCCTGGCAGATCTATACCTTTCAGGGTTGGAATTTTACTCACATTCTTTCCATCCAGAATTCCACTTCCAAACTTTCCCATTTCTTAGTGCACCTCTCTTTCTAAAAAGAAAAGGGTAAAATAAATATGTATTATTGGTGGCTGCAAGAATTTGGCAGTATAGGCACATCTGAAAAGCACTTTACTTCCACAGCTGACATCTTTTCTGCTAATATTAGCAAAAAGCTATGTATTGCCTCTTTCCAATGCTGAGATTGCAATGGAAACCACAGGCTTGGGAAAGGCACGTAAGACTAATATTGTCCCATTGTGGGATGTGTAGAATTATACGTATTCCCAGAGATACAATCAGAGAGGGAAAGCTTGACTGAAACAGAAATGTAATGGCTTTCTGCAAAGATGGTGTGCAGGGTGGAAAGGCATTGAAGCCCAGGAACAAATGTGACTAACACCAGTGTCATTTCCATATACAAACCATTTAAATCACATTCGCACCGAATCCAGCAGGGATGAAGTAGGCAAGAGTACTCTGGTGGTTATTGAATCATTATATTTGCCAGAGACTCACCCACTGGCTGAGAAGTGCATGGAACCAGCCTGCAGAGTCGCTAGGAAGATCCATGTTAACAGCTTTCAGCATTTGGGAAGTAGCTGTTCTTTTGGGTATGGACTGTCTCCTTCCTGCAATGAGCATGTAGCAATACCTCAGCCACAGCTCAGACAAGTCCAGGAACTGTCACAGACCTACCCCAGCTTTGTTCTCTGGACAATTTTCATGGGCTCCTTAACAGAATACCAAAGATGTTAGCAGAACAGGCATGCCTTTACTATGGGCTAGAGAAATCTGAATCACTAAGAAGGAAACCCAGCGTGAACACCAACAGGAGAAGCCTGAAAGAGTCATTTAATTCAAGTGTCATGAAGACGTAAGTGGACTGTCTTGATGTTTTTAATAAGTTGCTATTTAAGAGGAAATATCCTCTAAGTGTGGCAAAAGTGGAATAAAGTCAAAAGTTAAGGAAGTTATTTATTTGGGTTATAAAAGATAAAAATTACTATTTACAGATGCTCCCTATTAACATATTTTGCCCCCACAGAGATGGTGGGCATGAGAGAGAGGCGGCTTCAGTTTCTGAATCTGTGAAAAGAGACGAATGAAATGACAAAAATCCAGCATAATGATATCTATTTTGATGAGATATTGATAATGATATATAAGGATATCTGTTTATGCAGACCACTTGACATGGAAGCCAATGTGGACAACGAGGTCTTGCCGATCTCTCCCTGTATGTTCAGTCCTTACCTCTGATTTCAAAGCAAACGTCTCACGGAGTATCTCCCCAGGTCTGATTCTACCAACATTAAAAAGAACTGTGAACTGCATGTCATCTTTGGTGAGTGGATCTTCATCACACACTGCCAATTCTAAAATGTTCTGGTAGTAGAAGAGAATAAATAAGAACTCTTACTGAGCTGCTATTACAGAAACAAAAAAATGTTTATAGACTTTTGCAGCTGCTTGACTAGCACAGTGGTAAGAATAAAGAAACATGTGCTTTCCTTTAGGAGTTTGCTAATGTGGAACACCATCATTAAACCCAACCTTGGGAAACTTATTATGAAACAGAAGACAAATACCTATAACAGAGTGCTCCCACTGTCCTGAGACAGAGAAGATGTCAGTGCTCTGCACCACACTGATAACCCACCTAACGAATATACTTACTCAGTTTCTTCATCCCCAAAGTTCTCTTAACGACACAGCTTAGGATAGGATTAAATTCACTGTCTATACCACAGCAACTCCTCTATCCTTCCCTTACAACCAGTGGAGGGAAAGCTCTTTCTAAATTAACAATCCAAAATAGCCCAGATGAAGCATGCTACAGCAGCACTTATTTCTCTCAGATGACAACAAAGGGAATCTGGACTAGCTCCGATGTAGGCATTTATATCACCGATGTCTATAACTAGCTGAGTAGAATACCACTCCATATCTCTGCTGTTTTGTGCTAACCTGTCAGTTGCAAATTTTCTTAAGTTATTTAGCACAGTTAATTGACAGGTTGTCAACTGAGGATTCCCAGCTATGCAAAATGATGAAATTTCTATTTTTTCACTACCTCAATTTCTCTCTGGATCCTAAAGTAGAAAGTCTCATTCCAGACAGGGTTGTCAGAATTCTTGATGGTTTTGGTCTGAAGCTTTCCATTTGAAGCAGATGGCAGCCACAAGCGCACATAGCAGTCTGATGCAGTCACTGCAGCAGAAAAAAAAAAAAAAAATCAAAAACTTGATGCCAATATTATAGATGAAAAGTAGGGCAAGGCCATGATTCTGGGGACCAATAAATAAAAGCACTTTTTAAAAAATAAGTAAAGAACCTATTAGTTGGAAGCAACCAAGGAAAATCATCTTGGTATAATATCTAATTCCTGGGTAACTACAAATTGCAAATGTACACATGCACACACAAAGTACACTAAGAACCGTGTTTCCCATGTGAAGAGAAAGGTATAAAAGATCCCACCGACCATTCATCGGGTATATTCCCTACAATTTCAGGCAACTATGTTAAAAAAGTTTAACTGAAACTAGAGCTAGTTCTAAAAAGGGCTGTTAGGATGATTACAGGAAAGGAGAATGCATACTACAGAGAAGATCAGAGGAGACTGGCTTGCTCAGTCTAGCAACACAAACATGCGGAAGGGACGTGATGGCTCTCTAGAAGGGTTAGGTACTAGAGAAGATCTGTTGCAGCTAAAGGCCAGTGTGGGCCCAAGAACACGAGGGCATGAAGAAGTCGGAAATCTTCATCTCACTTCCAGCCTACATCTACTCCTTAGGGTTAGTGCAGTCAGTGCCTTGAGCAGCCGTCCTTTGGGAAGAGCCGGGGTGGGAAAGCGCATTTACTTTGTGAAGCTTGACAACGGTGTGAAAGGAAATCTCCAAGGTGATGTCTTTCAGAGCTGGAGTCTGGACTTGACTGAAGATGTCTACTGCAGCCCGAGATGCCTAAATACTTCAGACTGGTATCAAGCAGTGAATAACATTGCCCCACAAGGTTTTGGCAGGAAAGTGGAACTGTCCCTTCAATAGAGTAGATAGATAGAAGAGATCATTGAAACTCAGAAATACAGGCCTCGTCACACTACCACCTTTCTAGTGTCCACCTCTGGGTGTTGCTACGTGGCATTTGCCACAGGAGTACAGGAAGCCCTTCGACAGGCAGTTACTCAACCAACAGAGGATTCGCTCCCTCTGGTCTCCCTTGCATCCTTGGCCAAGGCTGTGCTCAGTCCTGCATGGTGTGATGAGAGTGGTCTCAGCTGTAACTCACTGCAAAGTGATACTTTTTTGGCTGAACATGTCTTTTTTCACTACAGGAATACACAGGCCAGAGGTTTCTAGAGTGCGAGAGAAGGCAGCTCAAGGTCTCTGTCCTGTCTGAGGAACCCAAGGGAGACATCTGTACAAATGGCAGCTGAATGGCTGGTCCATAGTACACCTTGACAAGGAGCCATAGGACGCTGTGAGGGTGAGACAATGAGTTAAAGAAACTTGAATACAGAAGTACACAGAAATGTCTGTTTTGTCTGCATGTTCAGCATGTGCTCAGGGCTGGATCTGCAGAGGCCCTCTTTAACCAGAAACTATCAATACAATGTAACGTGACTGGTCATCTGAGGACAGTAAATATGCCGAATGATACTGTATCTTAGAAGGCTTGAAATTCTCTAATTTACCTTTGATAATTGTGAATAATTGATACATTTCAATAAAAGGTCCCTAAATACGCGGACTGTGCAGCAAAATTCCAGTCCATTATATGATTTATACCAATTATGAACATCAAACCCAAACAACTCCGAGCAGATTTACAGGTTGCAGTGTCCTCACAAGCTCTACCTTCCTTTGTTGGCCTAGGAAATTCATCTGGGAGTCTCGGTTTTTATCAGTTCCCTGAAATGCAACAAGATATGTCCTCGAATCTAATGATACCTCAGGTAGTTGATTTAATTATAGCCCTGGTATTAGTACTTCTGTTGCTGTGCTTTATGTACGTTGCTCGTATACCTTTAGAACTTAGGAACATTGCTCACTGTGTAAACTCTGGAGGTGACTAAAACCACAATCAAACCACAACTCACACAGGTCTCTTGACTTGATGTTCTTAGCTTGTATGATTCTTACAGAAAGCATGTGGATGGGGCAAAACTTCATCTGCAGAGAAAACAAATGCAATTAATTTTATCAGCTCAGAATACAAAAACACTGTATTTTGAACAGCACAAGGGGACAGCCTGTCCTTCTGTTTGTCTGAAGTGAGGAGACCACCCTGCAGTGGAAGTATACCAGGCTAAGATGAAACACCACACTGAAATACTGTATCTATTTGTCTAAATGAGAGCATCCTATTACACTGTAACAAATAATTTGACAATTTTATTTTGAAAGTTAGTACCATGATTAATATTCCTGACACTGAAATGATTAACTCGGGAGATACAAACAGCTGGGGAAGGAGGAACTTCTCTATAGGAGTCACTCACTACAGTTAATCTGAAATTCTTTTAAATGGGGTGGGAACTATTGGACATGTTTATTAGAGATGAGAACAGCCTTCATTCAGTTTCATTCGGTCTTCTTTAGAGGTAAATTACATTACATCAAATGGCTTCCATTTGAACTGTGAATTAGCAGCTTCAAATACAGACTTAATATTAAATTTTATGATGTCACTTTTAAAGTTACATCCTTTTTAAATTCAGATTAATATTCGAGTCACCCTGAGCTGAGAAACCCTGTTGTTAAACCTACAAAATCACAGATTACTCTGTCTCTTGGCCTCTTAATAATACACTTTCTGTATAAAAATGCAAGACACATTTGTTCTTGTGTGACAAGAACCATTTCTATTATTACACGACACTTGATCTTAGCCAAAAGGCTGAGAGGTGGCCTTCTTTTCCTCCAATTTCAAACTGACATATTTAAAACCTTCTTAGTTTAATGCATTATGGACATTACAGGTTCCAGTTGGGCCACTTCCATATTATTTCAGATGCCAACTGAAAGAATTTTACTTTAATTTTCCTGTGCAAATAGTTATTTAACATAGAAGTACCAACTGGAACACTCAGTCAGCATTCCTAGTGGGTTTCATTAACATGAAATATTGGATTATGCAGCCAATTACAGAGCTGACTGTTTTTAATTAATATGTTAATTCTGTGTTATTTTGTAATCAACTTCTCCCTTGCTCAACAGAAGCCCAAACCATTCTCAGAGTCTGCCTTCACTGGAGAAATGGATGTTGGTATACAATTTGCTTTGAACCTTTTGTGATGAAAATTTCCTAATTGCTTATAAAAACAGTGCATCTGCAGTTCATGATCAGAGTACTCTTATTTGTGATAGGTGTCATGTTTTCATTCTCTCCCACTAGAGCCAGAGAGCCTCACTCCTCCTCCCTTCCCCTTTCAACAGCAATCACTCCCCTTAAACATGTCAACATCTGCCTGCTGATGGAAACATCATCAAAGATGACTGTTCATTACTTCTGACTTGGTGCAGCTTAGTCCTTGTGTTGTTGCAGGGTAAAAGGTAAACAGGTTCAGATGGGTAAATGTGGCCATAATTAACCCTGTGTGTGGGCTGTGCAAATCCCCATGGAAAGCCAGAAGTCATCCCGCTCCCAAGACTGCAGTTACTCCAGCCTGTGATAACCATTCAGAATTGGGTTCATTCTTTCATCAGAAAAAGGCAGAGATTATTTTCTTCTACAATGGTCCAGAGCAGACTATTAGGGTCTGATTTGGGTGGTCTAAAATAACATCCTTGCCCAAAAGTGGTGGCACTCCAGAACACTCTTCTAGAAAAAATAATTATGGTTAAAGATACCATTTGCTATTTTCATAACATGAAATGCAATGTGTAATTTCATGATTACTGCAAATTGATAAGCACAGACACCATATGCAGGTCTTGCTCTTTTTAGTTCACTTCCTTGGGAGAACAATTATTTCCTGCATGGGCACACAGAGAGTAACAAAACCCCTCTGTAAATATCCAAAGGTAGCTTTCCCAGAAGCACATAATTCTATTTTTGGTGGAAAATTAGTAGTGCCACATTGAGGCCAATGACAGAGTGCAGGATTCAGCTACCTGTGTATATTTGCGTCCTAGACAATAAAAGTCAAGACCAATAAATAATAGCATGTCCAGAGTCCCAAAGAGTAGGGTAAAAAATGGAGAGGAAAACACCACCACCACCACAACTTCTTTTCACGTGATAGCATTTAGCACTAAGCTACATTTCTGTACTCTTAAAGCAAGTTTTGGGGGAGCCATTTCAGGACTAAAATACAGAAAAGTCAATAAACAGGAGATGAAACTAGCATGGCAGAATTTCCATAGCTGTGTCAAACCTTAACAAACTGAAAATTCACATCTGTTGCCAACATCTCATTGATTGTAATAATACACATTTGCTGACCTACTGTCTGGTTCCAGAGAATAGTCATATGCCAGTCAGCTTCAGGAGGACACATAATTCTGTTTACAGGCAGTTAGTCACTTCGAGGTTCATCCCAAAAAGACAACTTCGAGAGAACGAAATATTCACAAAGCTCATTAATAATGAGGAGCCGACCAAGATGGTCTTTGGATGGCAGTGAAAGAAGAAAAACCTACCAACAGCTCTTATTTTTTATTTCACTCCTTATTGCTCCTCCATGCTGCTCCTAGAACAAGATCTCATGGCTACCTTCACTAGAAAGTTATTCTTCTAGGGGATAGTTCCTATAAAGCCTGGCAATCTGGGAACCTCCTACCATCACCATCTTCTCTTCTCTTCTCTTCTCTTCTCTTCTCTTCTCTTCTCTTCTCTTTTCTCTTTAAAAAAGTACTTCTTTTTTACATGTTGGAAGGCTGATTGGAATCTCAGCATTTCATTCCCCCTGCACCAAACCTAAGCAGTTCTCTGAGCAGTTATTACCACGGGATAACACCAAGTTATATGAAGTTTTATATGAGGAGCTTGCTCTCTGTCTTCTGTAAATAGTTGTAGGATTTATCACTCAGCTTTATCGATATCTTTCAGACATGAATAATTACTTCCTTTCACAGACTACTTTTTCTTTCTCCAGTGGTGTACTAGAAGCAGTACAATATCTTGTGTACAAGATCTCACACCAAATGTAATCATTGGGCATATTCTTACTATTTATTTTATCTTAGATACTGAAGATTTGGTTCAACTAAACTTGGCAATTTATCACATTAAGGTTAAAGCTATAAACTTATAAACTATAAAAAAGCTTCATGACAAGCCCAGTTCCAAAGCACTCTCTCCCACATAGATTCTTTAACATCTAATATGGGCTGAATTGATTGGCCCCTCCATCAGAGGAAATACTGCTAGCAATTTGCCTTTCCAAACAGCTGCCTATTTTCATTAAAATTAGAGGAATGCAAAGTTCTGGTGGGAAAAGTGACTGACAGACTGAAGAAACATGCAAAGCCAGGAGAGGGGATAGAAGGAGAGAGCATGACCATGCAAGCCTCATTTTTCTTGGGAATCACAGTCATCCGAAATCTTATCATTGAAAGTTGAACAGTTAGTGAGAAAATCTAATTTGCCTTACAAGCATTTACTGTAATTTTGTGTTATCACTGATGGATCGTTTCAAGAGTCATTGTGGATTTGGAATATTCTTATTCTATCAGTCACCTCTTCACATGTATGAGTGAGTCCCTCGGGGCTCTGTATTGACAGAATTTCTAAGCATTTTACCACATAAAAATTATTCGCAGTTCACACAATAAGACTGCTAAAGAGTGATTATTCTTGTCTGAGCAGAAGAAAAGACCCTGTTATGAATATCAAAAGCATTCCCAGCAAGTTGTAAATTAATATTGTCCATCACTTCTATGCCAATTTGGTAGCCTTCTTACACAGCAAGAAATTGACTGGGAGACTTTTAGTCAGTCTTCCTAGATAGTTCAAAGTATCCACACTCCACAAGTTTCTAAACAACTTTTGGGGTTTTTTTAATATAAAAGAAAGAAGGAAAAAAAAACCACAAATACAAAACAGAAAACCACTCTACTCTCATTTCCGTCTCTATTTACCAATTTACATGTACTGAAAAATGCATTTGCCTGACAGAATGGCAGAGCTACCTGAGATATTGAATGAATCTCCTTCCTTGGGAATAGAAGCTTTCTGACCTGGAGCCATGCTTGTACTCTAACCTTTTGCCTGTGTTGCCTGTTAACCAGGAGTATGTCTATACTCGTGGAATAGCAGTTGCAGCATTAGGATAAAATGCAAGAACTTTTGCTGTATTTGAGACCTTCTAGATAAAATTATACCTAAGCTATCTACTCATCTATCAGATTCAGAATTATCTTATTAAATACAACATTGATATTTAAAATTGATAGATAATATTTATATCTAAGATAAATAGATAGCTCTGGATCTAACAGGTAGATAGATCGGATACAAATTTTATCCAGAAAGTACATTAAATTTACAATCTATATTCTTTGTCCTAGGCACCCAATGTTTGAAAATTTTTAATCTATCATCTGAACTGCCTATTCAAGCTACTTATATTTTCCTGAATCTTTAACTTCACCTGTAAATATTACCATGGCACAAGTATAGTAAGTATTCTTTATTCTTAATGATTAATGATTTTCTATAAGCCATAATATGTAACATTGTTTCTCACTGTATTTAAAACCCATGAACGTCCATGTTTCTTTTATTTGCTGCAAAATTTTACATAGGGTTTGATACATAAAGAACGGTTAGCCTGTAAATAATTCACATCTTGCATTTCAGACACCGCGTCCATTACTTTTTAAAGATATATACGAGAAAATAACTCTCAGTGAAGAACTCTGTTGATTTATACTAAAAACTATCAGTTAAAATCTCTGAATGAAACTTACTATTAGAAAACTCGAGTCTGGACATGAAATACTTCTACTAGAATTGCAGATGCTGTAAACATTACATTGAAGATAGCTAAATCAGCCAAATAGCTCATTAGAACTCTCCCCTGCAGCTAAAGTAATATAAAGTATGCTTTGTTGCTAGAAAAAGCTGTTGGGTATTTTTTTTAGCTGGGGCAAGCAACGAACATGTGCTATCCTGAGAAAAGCATGCAGTAGGGCTAAAGCACTTTCATTTTACAGTGAGGTAAACT